TCGTATCGTTTAAGTAGTGATTGCAGGCATTCCCGCAGATGAGTGTCATTGATGTGTCGGTCGTAAAGCCGCACTTCTTCGGCGCCAAAGCTATCGATTGAACAAACAATTGATGAGTGAATGCAATCAAAGTTAATATCAAAATAATTTACTAGTAATCGGAATAAATGTGAAAACGAATGCATTGTTCCAATACTGTTAGGCATTGGATATCATCGGAGCACTGGATGGACATGTCCTGACGCACGGACCGCAACCGATCGAAGATGTAATCGTAGACCACATTCCAGGGGACACTGTCTCTGACGGCCACTCTATTCGTAATAAAGTTTGGGTTTAGAAAAGGTTTCAAAATTATCAAAACCATAATTACTTGGAGAGTAAGTAATCGCATGTTTTGACCAAAACCTTGATTGGTCTCAACTCTTCGGCCGATTGCATCGGTTGCCCAGCGCTCGACCGACTGAACTGTTTCACTACTTTTCGTTTGTCGGCTTTTGGCCGAAATCTAGAGACAAAGATAAAAAGTGGATCAGAGAGGCGACAGCGGGAGTGAGAGGGGGAGAGAGCGGGTGACGTACGGGTCGTTGTCTTTCTCGCGATTAGTCTTCTCCCGAAAAGTCCAGACCCACTCCGACTCACGCGTGATCTCAAACTCGTGTAATAATCCCTTCTCTTCACGCCTGAGGACAACACATGAAATACAAAACCTATGTTAAGACCGATCGGCCAATCAATTGATGGACATAAATGGCATACCATTTGAGTTCATTTGGTGGACACATATCAAGACATGTGCCCACAATTGGTGCCCGTATTTGTGCGGTCATTGTGTCGGCGACTGTGGTGTCAATCAAATCAATGCAAATCACAATCGCTTTAATCACACATTTATTAATACTTTTCGTAAATAAACTCCACTTTTATTCAATTTTAAAAAGTGATGTAAACTATACTCACATATAGTGTGTCACGAGATGTGGGCGTGAAGTGAGACAACCCTTTAATTCATGCCATATATTGTCAATACAATCGTCACAATTAGGGGACAAATAATTCAATCAAATTATCATTTCTTCTATGGATTTCTCACAATTACTGTCACGTTATTTATGGACCAAAATGTAGCAAAACCTCATGTTTTGCACAAACATTGAACACAACTATGGCTTCAAACGTAAGGCTTTTGTTTGATTTATAAATTGCTATTTAATTGATTGCCAATCGATTGGTTGCCAACAGATGACCACAAAATTGCCGGAAAGCCGAGACCTGACCCGCATTGAGCGGATCGGCGCTCATTCACACATCAGGGGCTTAGGAGTGGACGAGTTGTTGCAACCAAAAGAGGTAATGCTTTATAACACGCGCTCATGTTTTGGGCCTTTTCTATGCATTCACTCAACGACTACTCGTGTGAGAAATGGCCACTAATTGTACGGATTGTTTGACAGGTGTCGGAGGGAATGGTGGGCCAAATGACTGCCCGCCGATCGGCCGCTATTGTCACCCGAATGATCAAAGAGGGAAAGATCGCGGGGAGGGCTGTGCTGATAGCGGGCCAGCCCGGCACCGGCAAGACGGCCATCGCGATGGGCATATCGAAGGCCATATCGCGAGACACGCCGTTTGTGGCCATTTCTGGTTCGGAGATCTTTTCGCTGGAAATGTCGAAAAGCGAAGCACTTATGCAGGCGTTTCGTCGCGCCATTTGTGTCCGCATCAAAGAGGAGACCGAAATCATTGAGGGAGAGGTCGTGGAGATACAAGTGGACAGACCGG